CCATAGCGGAGCCAGGGCTGTCCCTGCCACCACCACGACAAACTTCCATTTCAGGGCCAGGAGCTGGGCAGCCTGCCACATCGGCCCATCAGGTAGGGGACTTAGGAGCCACTTGAAGCCGTGCAAACCAAAGCAGTGCTGCTAACTGAAGAGGAGGAACCCCTGCTGCCCGCTCCAAGCTGCTGTTGCAGCGTCTCACTTGTGCCAGGATGCAACCCATAAGCAGGCAGGACTGCTGCTGTCCACTCCCAAGGAGGCTGTTTGCTATTTGATTTAGAACAGGTGTGGCCAGCCTGTGGCAGGGGCAGATTGGGGAGGGGACAGGAAGCAGGGTGGCAGATATGGCCTGGAGCAAAAAACCAAGCATCTGATGAGGCAGGCAGCAGAAAGCAGAGCAGTGGCTTGGTCAGGAAGCACAGCAGAGGGAGCAGAAAACCGAGGAGGAGCTGGGGTAAGGGATAGGGACTGGAGTGGCACATTTGCAAGCTGTAACTTTGGCAAGTCTGCTTCAACAGCTCCCATTTCTGGCTGGTATTTGGGATACACTTTTTTACTGAACATTTACTGATCCAGTTTTATCCTTGCACCCAAGGCTACTCTAGACCTAAGCATTCACTTCCTGCTGCTGGTTACACACATGGGAACGGACTCATGTACAGCCCCTGCAGGCACCCAGTTGATACTGTGTATTTGGGGGAAAGAACTGGGGTCCCCACAATGTGAGGGGCTTCTGCAAAGGTAGGGCAGTGTTGCCACTGTTGCTTGACAGCGAGACTTTGTGGAACTTCCTTGCATGTAAAAACTGGGATGTTGCCTCTAATGAATAAACTGGAATGGTCCCTTTAGTTGAGAAGTGCAGATGGATATTCAGCCCTGCAGGAGAAACAAGACTGAACCTACTGACATAAAGCAAGGGTATCAGCAAGCCAACATCAGAAATGGAGGGCAAGGTGATCTCATTGCACTGACCCCTGAGTGAGATGGAAATGCAAGTCAGTTACTCTGAGGCAGCTAGAGACAGCCTGGGCTCCTTCCTAGTCAAGAAAAAGACCCCAAACTACTTTTGAATACTCAAGGGTTTCTGCCAGAGAGGGCAATGCTGAATAGGAAAGTTATCTGAAATGAGTCACCAGTAAGGAGCGTATCACTAGAAACTGCTGTACACAAAAAGGGAAAAATGCAGCACAGCAAAACTCTGAAACCAGATCTGTCTAATGGAGGTATTCAAGTGCATCAGACATTACACATAAGAACAGAGCGCTATGCAGTGAAGCATTGAAAATGCTGCAAAATGACCTAGTGCTACTGCATAGCATTCTTCCGCACAAAAAGCTTAGATAGGGGCCCCCTTTAGAGAAGGCGAATGCAGCTGATGAAACACTGGATAGTTACGATGGCAGCACATTGGGTGGCTGGCAGCAACGCAGACTCTTCACAACATACCTGCGGGAGTATGAGAACCTATGTGCACATGCATAGTATTTCTTGGAGTTCAGCTAAGGAGTCATTAAACAAGACCTTGAAGAAAACCAGTGGCTTCAAATAGCAAGAACTAGAACAGCAAAAAACTCTTTCAACCTTCAATATCATCCCATGTAAAACAGCATTCCCAATGGGTAAAGCATTTCAGAAGAAAACCCCCTGTTAATGCAATTTTTATTAGCGGATGCACAGTATCTGAGCATCTAAAAAGTCAGCACATTCCAGCATTAACTCAAATCTCACTGTCATCACGCCCTACACTGCAGTCTGAATTTCCCTTTCATACAGGGAGTACCTTTGGGTACATAAAAGCACAGAAACAGGAAAACATGAAGTATGTACAGAAGGTTTCCTGCCAACTAAGAGGCCTACACTTTTTGGAGATTAGCAAAGCCTTGTACATTTGTCTTGGCAAGTGATATCAAAACACCTTGTGCTTTAAAATAATAATAAAAAAATACTAAAATATTCACAATATAAACTTAAATACATTGCTTTTTGTTTTTCTTTTTTTTAAAAAGCATGTTAATGGCCATTGATTTATCACAGCTGTTCCAACAGAATCCCTGTTAATGAAGCACTAAGAATGTGAGGTTCACATTTTGCACTGCATATGGTCAGAATTTCACACGCTGCCGCATTAGCATAATTGTGCCACTGCAAACCTTATAGAAGAGTTCAACTGCAGTGTGCCCCACTGACAAGATGTGGCAAAGGCATGGGGAAAAAAAATGCCAACATAAAAGAGGGCTGCCACAGACTTACCACTGAGGTCATTTCCACATACTAACACTACCATAGTGATGTGTAAATAGATGGCAATGACTACTGCTTTTGTGACACCTCCCTTCTCCACAAATAATTCTTTCTTAACACACACTTGCATTAACATGAGTCAGTCATTGACTACAGTGTCTGAAAAGAAAAAAAGCTAATGGGTTAGATTCCTCTCTAGTGTAACACTGCAGCATTACATGCCCATGCCACAGTCTGTCCCATTGTGCATAAGAGTGCAAGCTTTCTACAAACATGGAAGACAGCAAGAGGGCTGGACTTTCTAAAGGAGAACTTAACCCAGCCTAGGACAATCTTGGTAACACAAAGTATAAAATTCATATGGGTGCTCAAAAGGCAACAGGACCAAAGTTAACCTCAGATGTTGAACTCGTGCAGTGCAACTCAGGAGACTGACCCCTTGAGTGTTGCTTAATTGCATTCTCACGTTGGGATTAAAACACAGTGCAAGATGAGATGGTGACAATATCTTTGCCTCTCTCCAGCACATTTCATTAAAGGAAATCGAAGCCCTTTGCACACATTCTATTAATCCTCACAGCAGCCCTTTAAGGTAGGCCCAATATTGGAGACATTTTACACCTAAAAAAACCTGAGGCACAAACTGAGGAAATAACTTTCATAATGGGGTTTGGTGAAGAGTCAGAAACAGAGCACAGGCACCTTACTGCCAGGTTCCTGATTAGCCACAAGACATAGTGCCTTCATGAAACAGGTTCCAGAGAAAGAGAAGCCTATGTGGATCTCTCTCTCTCTCAAAATAAATCCTCACCATTGTGATCAAACAACAGGCCTTAGATTTGCCAAGAAGCACTAATTACTAGGGTCAAGATCTCAAGACTCTGATTAGTCAGAACTGCACCATCACACTTGGAAACATCTTTTCTAATTCAGAGTCAAATAGCTTGGAATCAGTCCTAAATCGTTGCTTAAGGCAGCTTTGTGTTAACCAAATGAGAAGAGACATGCCCATCCTTCACAGCCTTTTGGAATAAGAGGCACTGAACTTAATATGCTCTCTGTATATTCTTCTCTCATTAAAGACTGTTGGCAGCAGTAAGTTGTGGGAAGGTATAATCTTGAGGTCCATCACAAAGGCAGAGAACACACTGCTCCAAAGGGATGGGAAAGGAGTGCTTTCTTTTAAGCAGGTGCTGGCATCCAGCTAAACCTGGTTTTCGGAAGCAGACCACAAACACTTGCCAAGCCATAAATTTGGCCTGAAAAATTGAGGGGGCAAGAACTCATTCCTTAGCAAGAAGCACTGTAAACACAATTCCCCTCCTCACTTACAAAGCAAACTTGAGCTTGAGGCTGGATGTCACCACCTCCTATGTTACTTCTCTTACTCTTTAAATGGAGTTTGAGTTCAGATTTAGCTCAGACAGGTACAGATGCTAGCTTCTAAAATCTAATACAGGGAATGAAAAGATGACACCTGTTTCCAGTTTAGCCAAAGGGTTCACAAAAGAATTACCCTCATCAGAGATCCAGGGGGAAATGCTTCTGCCCTAAGACCTTTCACTACATGGTGCCAGTTAACATGTCTTCAGCTGAGGGGATCCTTCCAGGCCAGCACCCACTTCTATGCTGCTTCTCTTCACTTTCTGGTCATTGTTGCTGAAATTGGTTCAAGGACACTTGGGGCTTTCACTTAAGATAGGGTTGTTCCTTTCTAAAAAAAAAATAAAAAAGGCCTAGATTTGGTACCTACAGACAGCCAAGCAGCAGTTGTCCCTGAACTGAAATGGGAAGTCAGTGTTACGTGTGTATCAATTAGATCAGATCACCCAGTGCAGGTGTTGGAGTCACCAGCATCTACTGGATGTCATTAAGGGTGCTTGTAAGCTACAGCAAAGAATCCAGGGGTAGCTATTCCACTTCTTCTCTTGAAAGTACAAGTTCCTTTGAGAACAGACCTAACAGACTTTAGAACAGTCCCAGCAAATCCCTGCCAGGCATAATCCCAATATTAACTCTGAAAGCAGGCAGGGCCTCAGGTCTGAGCTAGAGAGCTAATATCCATCTGATAAAGTTTCAACTGGTAGCAGATTTTTTTAAATCTAATCCCTATTCAAATATAGCTGCTCATGTGCCCAGGAGACTGAGTCTCCATGGCTGTGTCCAGATGAGTGCAGATGTGTGGTATGCGTTGCTACAGACCCGTCTTCGGCACCACACATGCAGGTGTTCCCTGTGCTGCAACCTTGCAGCTTGGGTGTGGGGAGGGGAGTTTACCCCAAGATTTCCTGAGGTAAAAAAAAACCCATGCTGAAAAAAGGCGAGGCATAGCATATGGTGGCAGTGTGCACACCACCCAAAACCAGAGCCTGGCCAGCCAGAGCCACACTCTAGCTGCCAGGGAGGCTTCGTGGCATGGCTGCAGCCCCAGAAGGACCCCCTGGATCCCAGGTAAGGCTGCTGGGGCCAGCACAGTTGCTGGCTCCTGCCTCGCCTACCCTACCTGGGGTAACGTGCTGTGTCACTGCTACTTGTCTCCAGCAAAACAAGTGCCCGTGCTCGTCTGGATGCAGCCCATGAGTTTAAAATTGTTTTGAGACAGAGAGAAATCTGGCTGAAACTGGTAATTCAAGCGTACAGCCTCTCAGATCCCCCTGCCTCTGGGAAGGGCATGAGATGCGACAAAAAAGATCTGATACTTGTTAGCATTTGGAGCTAGTTATCTCCTCAGTGCTTTCCAAGCAGACAGCCTCACAGTACTCTGTGAAATAGGTTAGTACATTTAACAGACAGGGTAAATGATGCAGAGGTTAAATGACTCACCTAAGGCCACAGAAGGAGTCTGTGTCAGAGCTGAGATTAGAAGGCAGGAGGTTCCTGGCTCTCAGATCCTCTCTCTCTTTCTCCCCCCTCAACATTCCCTTCCTCCTTCAATTTTTAATAGACTTAGACCAACAAGAGAAGGAGCTATGGTGCCACATACTTTTGACAAACGGGACTCCCAATATTATTTCACATGCTCAGAAAAGTATACTGGATAACTGAGTACCTTGGAATTAAAGCCAGGATGATGGCACACATTGTTAAGGAGCCAATATACAATAGAAACCTAACTTAATAAATAAGCATAGACATGCAGCCACAATTGCCACTGAGCAAAGAAGAGTCCTCAGCTCAAAAAGGTCCCAGACCACAAAGGACACACCCATATCACACCTGTGACTCAACTGCCACACCAACTAGTGCATGTCTGATGGTGCGGCCATGGAGTTTATAGCCATCCTGAGTCACTAGTGCCACCATGCCTGGCTGCATTCCCTCTGCCGGTACGTGGCAAACTATTTCATGGTCATACGGATCATATTTGTCACCAACAGGGTTCATCTTCTGAAGGCCGTGTTTGGCAAACACACTTTGCAACTTGGCCTCAACGAGAGACAGGCCTTCGCAGATCTTCTGGGGGGCTGGGCTGGGATTGCTGGGTTCTGTTTGCTCTGCAGCACTCTCAGTTGTCTTCTCCAACATATCTGCTATCTCAACGAGGTCCCTGCAGAAACTCTGGATCCCTGCAGGCACACACACAAATAGACAAGAGGTTAAGTAATACCAGTTCAGCAGCAGGAAGTGCAAGGCTACATCAGCCCTGGGCATGCTGCCACAGGCCTCTGAAAGGTTTGAAAGGTTATGACCTCACGCTGAAAACTGCTGATTTTGGAGCTGAAGGGACTCAATGTTACCTGAAATCATTCTGTATCTCCTCCAGCTGTTGCCCTTAGTATTGTATAATGCTGAAGAGGGAAAGACAAGACTCACAGAGACCAGGATGATGATATGTATATATACCCAGCCAGATAAAAAGGTATGCAACACTCACATTTGGTAAGGCACAGATATTTTGTTTCAAAAAACCTCCTAACCTAGGATGTTTCAAGTTAGAACTCAAGCAGCTACAGGGAAACAGGCACAGTGGAAGGATGAAACGTTTGTTGCCATTGAGGAAGCTGGTTCAGTTCGCAACCATTCTGGGCAGCAGCATGCTCATCTCATAAGACTGTTCTCAAGAATAACCCTGATGCAAGTACAGTACAAAAAACCTGGCCCTCGAAGTTGTCAGGCCTGTTAACTAACATAACAGTAAGGGATAAGATACCTATTGGGAAAAACGGAAGAGAGCAGCAACAATTAAACAATCTACACCTGCACAGACCAACCCATGTATCTGTGAAGAAAGCCATGGGGCACAAGGCAAGTTGCACAGGAGCAGTCATGGATCCATCTAATCCAGCAGTACATAGGGTTATCCCTTGCTTTAGTGAATGCCATGTCTTCCACACTGACCAGTTCCTAACGTGAAGAGCCTTTGCTAATGCCCTTATAATTTAAAAGGATACAGCAGCACAACACATTGAGCAGTTCAGTAGCAGCAACACCATACATAGACCTGAATTCAGCACCATTTCAGAGCAGATGAGCATGAAAGGAAAATACAGAAACTCTATAGCAAACAAACTTTAATAACCCTCTGGCAAGGGTTAAGTAATGAGCAGGGATCCTGTTCGTCTCTGTTTAAAAATCCAAATTCTCTGATCAAAACCCCCAAATCCCCATTTTTCCACAATTAAAATGAAACACCATTATATCTATATCTATATATAGGTATCAGTTGAACACAATGTTTTATTTATATATCTACAATTTTCAAGCAAATTGGAAACCTACCAGTGCCTTAATAACTATAATAAAATAAATTGTATATAACTATACATTTTGGCATTTGATTTTTTTTTTTTTTTTTTAATCACAGAAAA